AAACAACCTATTATGATTAGTAACGCTCTGCAGCAACGGATGGATAGAGTGTGTCATAGTTTGCATCGAAGCGAATATGTATTATGCGTAGTTAAAATGTTAGACATGACATCATTCAAATCATATATTCTACTATTTTTTTCTCTTCGTTCTCTCAAATTTTTGTTTAACCGATAGTAGTAGTATTTCTTATATTGTTCTGTGCTTATTTTATTTTGTTTTATTCGAAGAAGAACAGTTGTATAGAATGTCCAGTGATAGAATCTTGTCAATTACATAATAATAATGTATCTTTTTATGTAATTTTTATATCATCACGTTCTTTCTTTTTTTCATTCAAGGAAAGGAATATCTCAAAATTCAGACATGCCTAATATCTATAGTAATAAGTGTGCTATTTGCAATATAATAGAATGGAAATATTCATTCAATATATATTTATTCCATTTATGCGCACTATAGAAATTTGAGACATTGATGGCGCGAATAGAAGTTTAGTGTATAACAAAAATTTTATTCGAAACTTAAAATGGCAGAAAAAAAAAACTACCTGGATAGGTTAACTGAGTACATGTGGCAAAGTGAAATTCATTTTACAGTAAAACATTTTTCTTCTTTTAGAATTTCAACATCAATAATTAATCAAAGTCTGGTCTTCATAGTAGATATATGGTCGATTATTTCTATAGAATGAATGAACAATATCATGTTCAGCTGTTCATTGTAACTGTAGGTAATTTTAATTATTTGTAACAAATTTTTTAGTGTGATGTCTGTTTTGAATGCAAACGATATTTGAGAAAGATATTTGTGCGTTTTACTGTAACATTGTTTTTTAATACAGCATCTAACTAAATTATGGGAATTTTTTATTCAACATTGTACAATGGCTAATAGAACGTATCGAATTTCTCTACTATTGTCTAAATGAAAGATATGTTTACAAAAATGAGAGTCTATTAAAAAACTCCATCTTACATATGATGTGTCAATGTACATTATTCACCTGAGAACTATTAAGGACAAACTTTACTTTATCGAATTCGTTCATATTCATTTATTAATAATAGTCGATTAGTTGATTAATAAAAGGTATTGAAAGATGTGTATATAAATATTGTATTAATAATCGAGGAAGACAAGCAAAGAAAGAAACAAAAACAAGATGCGACGAAGCTGTTTTTTTTTTATTAGCTAAAAACACTTAATGTCGTAACTAAACTAAATAATGTATAGTCATGATGACGTATGTCTATACACAGGACTTAATTTTATAATAATCCAGTTATAACCTTATAGTGATATTATCAACTGTTCAATAAAGGGTCATCTTATTCGTTTTTCTTTATTGAACTGACGTTAAAAATAGAACGTAAACAGAACAAATTTCTATTCTCCGAAGTATTATGTTTCATATGTCAACAATTTTAAAAACATTTGAACATAGAAACCATTAAATAACATACCTATAATATCCAATATGAAACTGTGTTGTTCCGTCACCTTTGATAACAGTCATAAATTCCGGAACATCATAATAATATTGATAATGTAAATGAAGATTAGGCACTGTTGAACAAGAACGACGATAGCCATCAACAATTTCAAATGGGCTAACAAGTTCAAAATTAAGAGATTTTAATACCTCTGAATAAAATAAAAGAAGAGTAGAGAGAAAAAAAATTGCTAAATAACAGTATTATGTCTACCTCTTGGTGATTCTTCATTCATATTTACACAAAATTTCTAAAATTCATAAAAATCTTTTGGAAAATACATTTCATACAATCGGAATAATAATTCATCATTGGACAACTTTAATAATGATTTAATATTATTGGTTGTTAAAATGTTTTCATTATTTGTCGCTTCTTCGTCAAGACTATATTTTTTTGTTGTTTCTACTGGTATATGTTGATCAAGAGTATTTTTTTCAGATGATATTATTGTTGTTTCTTTTTTCTTCTTGTTAGATTCCAACGAATGAAAATCTTCGTTTTTATTTTGTTCTGCTGTTGATGATGATGATGTTTAATTGGTTTTAAATCATCTGTTGTTAAATGATGGTAAACTTTAAAATGATCACGATTGTTTCTATAATATTCTCGACCATATTTACAAAACGGCACCATCATTCTCATCGTCATCACTACTACTATGATGGTTTGTACGTTTAATTCGTTTAATAATAGAGATCTAAAAATCAGACAAATCAGATATCGTTAGACACATAGCTACTATTTTTAACTGAACTCACCCGAATACACACCTTTCACTTTCAACAAAAACAAATATGACATACGAATGTATAATCAACTTTTTATTTATTATTTAACTTTGTAAAAAAAGAATATTTCGTTGCTACTACTACAACTTACAAAATGAAAATCTTGATCGTTTAGAGAAAAAAAGAGTTACAAGACATTCAAAAGAAATTCGATGAGTTTATCAGACAGATTTGAGATATTTTGACTGGAGAACTTCTGAGCATATTTATTATATTATCAAAAATTTCTCAAAATGGTTTAATTATGCTACTATTTCGAAAACAAATTGTTTAAATGGTGAATATTCAGAACAAAGTTTGCCGAGACGATAGATATAACAGTAGTTTCTCTACTTCTATGATTAAAGGATGGATTTACATAGATAAATGAGAGCGGATAAAAAAGAAAGAAAATGACAACTGTAATAAGAAACTTCTTTTTGTCGATGTACAAGATAGAAAAAATGTGAATACAACACCAGAAAATATATGTATATGATCAAGTGCAAGTCTGGTAGTCAAATACAAAAACAGGAAATAAATGGCCCTTTTAATGGTTCTTTAACACCTACAGGAACGAAGGAAATAAAATAATCAATTTATGTCTATCTTATCGTGACTAAAGTTTTTACATGTCATATTTAGAAGATCGAATGACTGATCTCGTAAAATGTAGGCTAGAATATTTCTAATAAAAGTGAATGTGAACGTTGATGCGTATTAATTGAAAATGGAAACGGTGTAAAATTAAATTGAAAGAACATATTGTCGATAGATGGTGACATTAAATCATGAACCGTTTGATAATTCACATTTTATAATACACAATAGACAAGATTATCAATTATTTGTTGATTAATTGTAGGCTCAGGTAACGATATTACCAACTGAATAATAGCTAAAAGGCAGAAATAAGAAGACAACTACCAGCAATAGTGCAAAGAGAGTATGAGAACTTAACAAACTATTTATGTATATCATGGGATTTTCTTACATGGTACATGGTATATTTCCCATGGTACATCCTTACATGGTACATTTCTTACATGGTTTCTCGGTAGACTTCATCCGGTAAAACCCGTAGTTTCTCAAAATTAATCGACAAAAAAATATTTTTTTCAAGTGGGTCATATATTATTGACTACCCTGATTCCAAATATCACCATGCCAGCTCCTCTTAGGTTTTCAGAGAGCGGTTTTCTGGAAAACCAGTTTTCGAAAACTCTAAAAGATAACCAAAACCTTTTTTCTTAACGAGCCAAGATTGTGGCCTGTAAATTTCTGATTAAAATGAGACATCTCCTAGCTAGCTCTACTTGACCTTTCTTTGCAAAGTTATAGAATTCCTAATTAAAGTCCTAAATTAATTTATTTCTGTAGCTTTGAACGGACAATGAACATTTAGGGCTTTCCTTGTAAATTCTGTAACTTTGAAAAGAAAGGTTGTGTAGAGCTAGGAGATGTCTCATTTTAATCAGAAATTTGCGGGCTACAATCATGCCAATGTACAATCAAGTGATAATCATCTAAAACATTTCCAATATTGTTTTTGATAGTCTTTAACAATGTTAATTGATTTTCTTGCTAAGTAATTTATATGATCAGCATTCGATTTCATGATTATAGTTCTGTTGTTTTTATCATCATTTTTATCAAGTAATACTTTTAAAATACTTTCAATGCATGTTGGATCACCATTACATTCTCCATCAAGTACAAAAATAACTTTTCCATTTGCTAATTGACATAATTGTTGTGTTATCCACGAATAAAGATCAGTTGTCATAGAAATTAACAATTTTTGTTCATTATAACTATTAACAAAACTACCACAAACTAAAACTAGATCAGGATCAAATTCTCTTGCTATTGGCATAATTATTTCATTCATCGCAGCTATATACTCAACATCCGTAATTGTTGAAAATGTTTTAGTTATTATCCATGGTATGTTAATATTGTAACCAAGACCTTTATCACTACCACATTGATCATAGTTTGAATCCATCGTAGAAATATCGCGTGTATGAATTGAAATATATAACACATTTGGATTAGAATAGAAAATTTCTTGAATACCTGAACCATGGTGAATATCCAAATCAATTATCAAAACACGATTCACTAACGAACTATTCAGACTATTTATACTTGTTTCCAAGGGTGTCGATGGTAGTGAATCGATTTTGGAAGGTGTTAAAGCATGAATCATATGACAAATAGCTTCTTCAACGGGTGTAGCACCGTCTAAATGAAAAGGATGATTTTGATTTATGTCATTTATTATTTTCGGTAGAATACTGTCAACTGCTAATGCAATATTATTAAATATACAATGTCCATCACCACTCTTCCGTTTAGCACGATGTCCTGGTGAACGAACGAATGCAAAACCATTTTTAGCATTTTTATTTTCCACAACATATTTGACAATATCAATGATAGCACCAGCCGAGTTCCGTGCATCTAAAAACGTTGACTCTTTACAAAATATCGAGTTTTTTTCATTTATCTCCTGACGTATTAACACATTCTTTTCGCTACAAGCTAATATATTCACATAATCACTTGCATGTACACAGATTAATTCATCGATTGTAGCTGAATGAGATTTCAATACTGAACATTCTGCCAATAAATTACATTGTCCAAGATCATTTATAATTGAAGTAAGTGGATCAAATGATCGATCATGATCGTGCAACAGAGTTGCTACAGTAACAATTGTCATCGGTTTAGTTTCGTCAGTACTACAATAACTATCGCTTGACGACAAAGATGATCCCGTTTTCAATGGTTGTACTGTTGTGGGTGGAGAAGTCATCAGGGCAGACAATGTAGATGGCATTGAAAGTTGTTGTGGTTCGTCTTCAATAGACGGAAATTTTAAATGTTCTACTTGTTTTAAAATTGGTTCTAATCGAATATTTTTAACATACGATTTACATAGATAACACCATATACTCAGATCTCTTAAACCTAGTGCTAAACAATGTCCGATAGCATCATTAGAAGCTGTTAACAATGTAAATAGCCAATGTTCTTCATTATGATTATTTATATATCGACTACAACGTATTTCACCACATGTTAAACAAAGCCAATTTTCATTCGTATCATCACAATCCAAACAAACATTTGAATAATTCTTACATTTTTCTCAACAACTCAGAAATGGACGTTTACAACTACGAAAATGGAGTTAACCATGGCATAACGAGGCTTACCGCCCGGGTATAACTGTCGCATTTAGAAGTATCTCATCTATTTAGATTTTAGATTTACATTACAATGAACTTTTTCTTTATTAAAATATGTGTTTGTCTACAGACTGCTGATGATTTTCTTGTTTATTTCAAAATTTCCACAC